AGACTCTTCTTAAAAACCTCCAGTGATGAAGCAACCACAACTTCTGATTAATTGTCCTCACTATTAGAAAGTTTCTCCTTAATTCCAGGTTGCTTCTCTCCTTGATTAGTTTCCATCCATTGTTTCTTGTCCTGCCCTCTGGTGTTTTGGAAAATAAGTTGACCCCCTCCTCTTTGTGGCAACCTCTCAAACAAGACATTTTAACTTTGGGAAGTCTACTAGGAGTAGAGCAGCAGTGGGATACATTAAGGTTCTTTTCTCATTGCTAACATAGTTTCCAAATGAATTAAAAGCAGGTTGTGCACAAAGATAGTGGCAGGGAATAGGCAGGTGCCCGTTTTTTCCTGCACAGTTGTGCAATTATTGTGTGGACTTCCATTCATGGTTGTCCCAGGTTTACTGGTGATCTGGGTAGGTGAACATCTCCTATTTGGTGTTTGTGGGGCATCTGAAATGCCTCAAATGCAAAATGGGTGGCTATGTAAATTTGATAAACAAATACACAAATAAATTCCCATTCAAAACTGCTGTTCAAAAGAAATGATAAAAAGACTTCAAAACCTGGTTGAGATAGAGCAGACATGTCAAACTTGTGACGTCACATGACGTCGCGCATCGTATCGGAGCTTTTTCACCATTGCCGGCAATGGGGTGGGCGTGGTTTCCCGATGATGCGTCCAGCCCGGGGGCGGGCAGTTTGATACCCCTGAGATAGAGGGAAAAGGCTGAGACAGAGGAAAAAGGCTGAAGTTCATTCTGGATGATCTTCAATCTGTCAGAGCTTTATGCATTCCTGAATTAAAGTTCCCTGTCTTCTCCAGGCAGAGAAGAGAAAGAAAAATGCTTATGGCAGAGATCCAATCTGTTTCTTCCCAAATCATAACCACTGTTATAGATCATCAGCAGGACATGCAGTAATTAATTTATGCAGCAGTGATGTAGCAGTGTTGTTCTTGGTATAATTTTGAAACTTAAAAAATTGCAAACTTTAAAATTAAAAGGCTATTTTAAACATTTCTGAAGAGTGCTGTGAGAATATGTGATCCACATGCTTCCAATTTTTTTTAAGCTGTGTTAGAGAGGCAAACTGTTGCAAGCCTCAAGAGTGAAATAGCAGTTATGTATAGTAGCTGGTTTACAAATGTTGCCATATTATCCAAATACATCATTTTAAACTTTTAGCATTCGTATCCAAATATAAAAAGTGGAATGCCTGAAAGCAAATTAATTCTGGATCATGCAATGCTGTGTTACATTACAGGCTCCTTTGGCTAAATCAAACAGCTGCTAATAAAATTGTCCCAATTGTCATTTTCAGCACAATGGTTCTTCAAACATAATTCTTTTATATATTCTTGGGGTGTGAAATTCTAAGCACATGTATTTATAATGAAAGTAGGGCTACATTCCAATCCTTGGCGATTGGAAACAATTATCACTGGCTTTCTTCCAAATAAGTGTTCATAAATAGAATATTGCTTAAATAGGATTCACTTCCTGAGGTCCATGTTGTTTTCTTAACAGCAGTATGGAAAGAATACATACTTGGATGTTTTTCAATTAATCAATCAATTCAGTTAATCTATAGATTACAGCTTGGGATTTCCTGCTGGTGTTGCACCCAAATACTTCAATCTGATAATGTTATCTACAAAGTAGAGCTAGTCCTTATTTACTGGCCACAATTGGGACCAGCAGCTTGGTTGTTAAGTGAAGCGGTAGCTAAGTAAAACTGCGACTGTGCTTGTGATTTTATTTTAACTTCCTTCACTTTATAGACCTGCAAAGGTTGTAACTGCGAGGATTTGGTTGCAAAGTTTTTCATCACTGTTGTAACTACTAAACGAGGACTATCTGTACTTTATCTCAGTGATCCCCAACCTTTTTGGCTCTGTGAACCAGCAGCAGCGGTGGTGGGCTGTGATGGTGGTGGGAGGGAATAGCTTCATGTGTGCAAATGTAGCTTCATGTTCTTGCTCTGTCACTTGCGCGGCTCAGTTTACAATGGGACATGGACTGGTACTGGTCTGTGAACCGGGGATTGGGGACCCCTCCTTCATCTGACTTAACTGAGGTTAAGAAACTCATCATGTAAAAACCTGTTGAGTGATATTATTTATTTTAAAAAGATAGGCAAACAGTATTTCTTTTTCAATAGCAGTTTACTTTTTTATGGTATAGGTTCATCAAATTGATAATAACTGTCAGAAAAGAAACCTCCAGGCTTATCAATTACTTCTGGCTATGTGACATACATAGGGACACTTTTCCTTTAAAAAGTATTCTTGGCCATGATTCTGAACGTATTTTGAATCTATCCAATTATTCAGAAGTATTGTCTTGGAATGCAAGTATGGATGACTGAATGTTTTCTTCCAATTAAATCCTATCTATAGAAAAATTATATTACTATGAGAACCTATCATCTTTTCAGTTGTAGCAGTCCACAAAAAACAAGTATCTAAATTCAGAATAATTTAGACCCATAGTTGTAATCCTTACTGTTTTCTAAATACTGCAGTTCTTGGCAAGTGTATCATGTGCTGTTATGTTTATTTTACTTTTAGAACAGGGGTTCCCAACAGGGGGTGCGAGCACCTCCTGGGAGTACGAGACGATATTCCAGGGGGTGCAAAAAATTGGGTTTTCAAAATTATAGTGTATATGCATAATTCATTGCCATTATTTCGAACTTTTGTAAGGGTGCGAGAATATATCAGAAGCATTCTAGGGGGGTGCGGGATATAGAAAAGATTGGGAGATGCTGTTTTAGAATATTCAAGTGCTTATTCATAATAAAGTGATATATGTATCATGGATCAGAACAGAATTTTTGAAATGTCATGTCCTGCGTGTTCCTTTCCAATATTCCTAAACTCATTTGAGAACAAAAGGCTTTCGTCCAAAGCCATTGTGAAGAAATGGTTATACCACATTTCTATTTAACATGGTGATGCGTACAGTGAAATTTAGCTAAGCAAATATGGAAATACCTTATGATTGTCATTGCTATAAAACACTCAAGTCTTCAAGGATAGAGCAGGAGCATACGAGTAGTCCTCAACTTAAAACCACAATTGAGCATACGAGTAGTCCTCAACTTAAAACCAGAATTTCTGTTGCTAAGCAAGGCAATTTTACAACCTTTTTTGCCATGGTTGTTAAGTGAATTGTGTGGTTATTAAAGAAATATGGCTTCCCCACTGACTTTTGCTTGCTTGCTTGTCGGAAGTCAGCCAGGAAAGTTGCAAATAATGATCAAATTACCCTGGGACACTGCATTTGTCTTAAATACATACCCGTTGCCAAACATCTGAATTTTGACCACGTGGCTAGGCAGATGTTGTGACAATTGTAAGCATGAGGATTGGTTGAAGGTAACTTTTTTTTCTGTGCGTTGTAACTTTGAATGGTCATTAAACAAATGGTTGTAAGTGGAGGACTACCTGTAGTGACATCAGAGACATAAGTTGCTTGTATTTATGAGCTCATATTTAGTAAGTGTAGCATATGACTGCGGAAGTAAAATAGAAAGTGAAGGAGAAATCAGCTTAAAATAAGAGGAGATGATCTGATTCAACATGGTATTTGTTAACTAGCTCATTAATTCCAACTTGTCTCTGTTTCACATTCTACAAGATTTTTAGTAGCCATTATGTGCATATAATTTTTCCTATATGGCCCTTCCATTGAATTAGACCACGGGTGTCAAACTTGCCATGTCATGTGACGTGTCGCCATGTGTCGCAACTCTTTTTGCATTGCTGGCAATGGTGTGGGTGTGGGTATGATGAAACCAGCCTGCGGGCTGGTAGTTTAACACCCCTGAAATAGACAGTAATCTATGAAAGTTTATACAATAATATCATTTAAAACGAGTGTGTCACAAAGTAAAATAAAACCCTCTGGAATCAGGCCATCAGTTCTACTACAACCAGCATCACTGCTGGTGATAACTGGAAAGTAAACCACTTGGAGAGTACAGTATCTGATTTCTTACCCTGACCTAAAATATATTCTAGAACAAGATAGAACTTGGAATGTATGTTTGGTAAGACTAACATTTTATCACCAAAAACAGCAACTACATTCACTTTTAACAATTTCCCAAAGTCCATGCATCATTTTACCATTAGGGAATTTGGCAATGCAATTTACAATATGTAGCATATGAATCTTGAGATGTAGGCTACTTACTGTATATAATGTATATGTAGTGTGGAATTAAAATCATTCACTCTCACGGACTTGCTTTGAAAATAGAAGGACATGCAATTAAATTGAAAGGGGGGAGTTGTATCTGTTTTAGCTTCTTTATATGTCAGTTCACAAATTGTTGAAATGGAAGCATTGATTCCCCTCCCCCCTTTGACTGCATCTTCCATAGTAGGAGACAGTTAGCTATTTTATAGAAAAGTGGATGATTTTACATTATTATGAAAACAGGCACAGACTATATATTACAACTTTATAGTAAGAATTTATAGGTTTAATAAACCACACTTTAATTTTAAAGCTTGTGCTTATCATATCTCTTAGTCAGTGGCATAATGCAAAATTGGAAAGAAGAGTAAAATGAAAGTAATGTATGAAGTGGGACATGAGTGACACGGTAGGAAGAAAGCTCCCGAGAATCCGAAAATATGGAGAGATATTGTAAATAGAGTTGGAGTAAATTAGATTTAGCTAATTTCCTTTTCTTTCTGGTCTCAAGGCCTTTTTTCTTTTTTGCTTCCTCGCTGTGGTTTGCATAATATTGCTTACTTCAAAAAGAAATGGCATAATGGCACATGTTTAGGTATGAAAAAGTCAGGAATTTTATAATTTTAGTCTATAAATAGGGCTACCCGTTTAACCTACAAAATACTGATGGCCATTAAACGACACCCCAGAGATGTAGAAAAATTCTAGCTTTTTGCTGCCAATTCTTCAGCCTTAGACTATAAATTTATTTTCAACTTCATTAAATTGCCTTGGTCGGTCATTCTCTTATGTTCCAGAGTTTGCTGAATGGATTAATGTGCTGCAAACCCGATGATCCCGTGGAGTATTTGGAAAGCTGCTTACAAAGAGTAAAGGAGCTGGGGGGAGCAGAAAAAGTCAAATGGGATACTTTTGTCAGCCCAGAAAAAAGGTCACTGCCTCCACTTAACGGCAACCAGTCAAGAAGAGCATTTTTCAGGAATGGTAAGATATAATTCTAAATTTTACATTTCAGCTTGTGGTAAGGAGACAGATAGACCCAATAAATGATTACATGGTGTTTTGAGAAGGGAAACGAACCGCAATAGCATTTGCTTTACAGGTGGTCCTTGACTAATGACCAAAATTGGGATCAGAATTTCCATCGCTCAGCAAAGAGGTTGTTGAGTGAGCCGTGCCCCATTTTACAATCTTTTTGCCAGAGTTAAGCAAATTATTGTGGTTGCTAAGTGAATCGCATGTTCATTAAGCAAATCCGACCTCCCTCATTGACTCTGCTTGCCGGAAACCAGCTTGGAAGGCTGCAAATGGTGATCACTTCACTGCGAGACAATATGACCATCATAAATTCACGCTGGTTGCCGAGAGCCTGAATTTTGATCATGTGACTCAGGGGAAGCTGCAACGGTCGTAAGTGTGAGAACTGGTTGTTACTTTTTTCAGTGCCATTTGTAACTTCAAGTGCTTGCTAAATGAACGGCCCTCCGCATGGAATGCTATTCTCTGGAAAACATGTGAGACTCCCGTTTGGTTATACTTTGGCTACAGAACTAAGATATTCCTCTCTGTCCAAGAATATTTACAGTTAATTTTTATTTTGAAGTGGCCTCAGACATTGGGATAGTGATTACTATCATTTCCTTCTCTTTGATTGTATTTATGATGAAAATAAATATATTTTATTATTTTTTAATGTTTAAATAGTTTTGTAATCTATCTATTGAACATCAGCAATTGAATAATGGCATAATGCCATTTTGTTTTCTAACTTTGCCACAATAGCATTTTAAAGAATATATTTCAGCCAAGCAACAGTGCAAAACTTGCATGCAGAGAAGAAATGCCAACGTAATCATGCTACAATTAATATTGATTAGTTAAATCACCTAGAGAACAATCTCTAGATTGGCCAGGGTTTAAAACCATGCCCAAAAACATGTTCATAGCTTAATGTATTGTGAGAAAAATAATTTTTTAATTTTTATGAATGTACCTGTCAAGTATTTTTTTTAGCAATTAAGCTATTTTCAGGTTTTGTAGGAATTATAGTCAATAATTAGATTAAATGAACCATGCAAGATTTTAACAATGACTTAAAAAGATGCATTAAAATCAAATTAAAATTGAACTTGCAAAGACGTTTATTGGTTGGTATGCACTTTCATTCCTACCTATCGATGTGAAAGGCACTCAAGTCATTCAAAACTTTAAACAAGAGATTATCAGAAACATTTTTTTTTGTTTCCTTCAGGCAAATGGCTAAATGACAAGATTTATCTAAAAATGGACATGTCCCAAACTATATAGTTAAATTTTTAGAGGTCATCTTTCTAAGTAAAGGAAACCAAATTGCTGTCTTAACGTAGCATAGAAATCATCCTGGGTCATCTATTTGTGAACCAGGAATATACAAGAAACCATTCACTTAGAAGTTTATCTGAAACACATTGAACCCTATGATGTTCTAATCACATAATAGACAATTTATAAAGCATACCTTCCAATGAGGAGATCTCTCTTTGCAAGTAATCCCTTCATAATAGGATTCTCCAGTTTGTTAGGGACAAGTGATCCTCTAGCTGAGGGTCCTCTTTTCTTAGTCCAAAACTCCCATCAAGATCATCTCTGTCAGATCACTAGGGAGTTTATGGAGTGGGGAAAAAGTCAGGAAACTCAGCAGGACTGAACCTGAATCTGAAGACAGAGCAGCAGATGAAACCTTTCTTGAAAGGAACTCTTTGATACTTGTCCCTTGCCAATTTCCTGTGATCTCTCATAAGTATGAAATAGCCGTCCTCTCCAGTCTTCTTCAAGAGAGGAACTTATATCTAGCTGAACCATGATTAAAGCTTGCTGGGGACATCTTATTGAAGTAGGTTTCAGAATATCTGGTATTAATCAGAGTACAGTATAGCAGTCTGATGTTTGATTTTCTGCTGGCTATTATTGATTGGAACTAGTTCTGTGAATAAACACTGTAGAGTATGAGCTATTCTTAAAGAGGCAACCTGTTTTCTCATTACATGAATGTTATAGAATGTTTTGTTGGCTATATTTACTCAACATGCAAGCCCATAACTTATTTATGGCTTATTTAAATATAGTTTATTGCATTAACTCAGCTGCACAGATTTCTACAATATACTAAACCAGGGGGTGTCCAGCCTTGGCTCCTTTAAAACTTGTGGACTTCAATTCCCAGAATTTTCCAGCCAGCCAGCTGTATAACATTCTGAATCTCATTCTAAATCCCACAACTTAGCTTAATTTGGGTGAACCACTCTTTGTGACATTAAATTAGGTACTAGTGTCATCAACAACAATTTTTGAAAAATGCTTTTAACCTCTGCCTGATTTACAAGAAAACTACATAGAAGTACCTACATAATTGTTGAGAGTCCAACTTGACTTGAGAGTGTAAATGTTTTTCTTTAATAGATTTGTTGAGTGTATTAAAGGATTTGTAAAGAGATTGCTTAAACAGGATCTCAATACAGTTATGCATTTTATAAAAACATCAAATATTTCTGCTATTCATTACTGATGAGCATAAAAAGTCATATTTCTATGTTTTGTCTTTTTTTGCTTTTTATGCTCTTGAGTCAGTCTTGATTCCTGTCAACAGCCTGGAAAAGCCCATTCTATTTGCTTGGCAAGATTTCAGAAGTGGTTTGCCATTGTCTTCTTCCTAAGATTGAAAAAGAGAAGGACTGGCCCAAAGTCACCCATCTGGCTTCGTGCCTAAGGCAGGCCTAGAGCTTAGGTCTCTTGGTTTCTAGCATAATCTCTTATACTACCCTCAAATGGATTCTCATTTCTGACATTACCATTTCCTATTTTACAGTGATGCCTGACAACCCCAACTTTCCTTACCGGAGGTATGATCGACTTCCTCCAATTCACCAATTCTCCATTGAGAGTGACACGGATCTCTCAGAAACAGCTGAACTTATTGAGGAATATGATGTGTTCGATCCAACCAGGCCTCGACCCAAAATCATCCTAGTCATAGGTAGGAAAGCAAAAAATGAGGCTGACCACAAAAAAACACTAATATTTTTCTTAGATTGGCAGTGGCTTTTAACAATGGAGATGCTGGGTCAATGAATGTCAGAGTTTTTGATGCAGATGACTCCAACCTGCTGCTTAAATGTTGTACAATAAACTTCACCTGGAGCACATGCTTGCAAAGAGAGCTGAATCCCTGTAGATTGAACTGTAAGAAAGATAAAAATCTAATCTGGCAATTAAATCTAACAGGGTAAAGAAACAAACTAAGGATACTGGCACCATTGCTGGGAATCCGTTCCTTATTACTCTTTTGTGTGTCTGGTATGTATTGGTTTGGAGGAATCATGTCCTGATTCTGCTCTGCCAGCTGAATAATCTTCTGTCAATGTCCCTAGCACCATCATCCTGAGCACACATGGGCAGTGGGAAATGGACAATTTCATCAAAATGATGAGATGAGGGTTGTGATGGCTGGGAGTTACAATTCAGCAAGAATCCCAAATATGCTTTTTGACGAGGCAACTAGACTTTCTTGTTTTTCTTTGAAGACATTTCGCTTCTCATCCAAGATGCTTCTTCAGCTCTGACTAGATGGTGGGAAATGGAAGGATTTATACTCCTTGCAGAGAGCTGGTCATTTGCATTCTTTTAGAGAGTCGTTGAGGCCACCTGGAGGCTTATCTGAGCTGAAGAAGCTTCTTGGATGAGAAGCGAAACATCTTCAAAGAAAAACAAGAAACTCCAGTTGCCTTGTGAAAAACCATTTTTGGGATAACTATGTCCTGGATGACTGAGAATCTCCATAGACATTCAGCAAGAACTCCAAGCAGATGGATTGCATTGTTGTTATATCCATTTATGCAACACCACACTAAAGTTCCTTATTTTTAGGGTCATTATGCCACCAATAGCTGCTGATGGTTAGATCAATAGAGAGCTAGAGGTTAACAGCAGCCTCATTTCTGCTCTGTGGTGTTTACAGTGAAAAGTACCATAGTAGTTGATAGACTAATGAGCTGCTTCTGTATACCTTCACAAAAGCTGATAAACTTACTTTATACATTCAATGATATATGAAGCTGTTTTTTTCCCAATCAGCTCTGTTGTGTTGACTTCTAGTGTATCTTGAAGGCACTTGGTTTGGGAAAGACTGTCTGAGATTCTAACTCAAGTTATTTAATGATTAAAAGATTGCAATAAGCTTGACTTTGAGGCTCATTTAAGATGGTATGAGGAGGATAGTCAGGCAATGAATCTGAGAAAACCTGGTTAACCCTTTGTTTTTCCTTATAGGTGGACCTGGCAGTGGTAAAGGAACCCAGAGCTTAAAAATAGCAGAACGCTATGGATTTGAGTATATCTCTGTGGGTGAATTGTTAAGAAAGAAGATCCATAGCACAAGCAGCAATCGGAAGTGGAGTCTGATTGCTAAGATAATTACAACTGGGGAATTAGCCCCACAGGTAAAAACAACAACAAGCCTTCGCAATCATATGTGTATGTGTTTTTTTCCCCAGCAACATTTGAGAATGTACTCTTGAAACAGAAATATATATACATCTATATATCTTTTTGTGTTTACCTGTTCAAGGAAACCACAATTACTGAGATAAAGCAAAGGTTAATGCAAATTCCTGATGAGGAAGGTATCATTATTGATGGATTTCCACGAGACGTTGCCCAAGCTCTTTCCTTTGAGGACCAAGTAAGCTGTTTATTCTTTTGGCTGCAGTTATTTAGAATATATCCTATTTTTCATAACAGAATAAATGTATTTAAGGTATTTCTGTACTGTTTTGCCTAGCAAATTTGCATCTCAAGTAGTTAAACAATAGAAAAATAGGAATAGCACTAAAACAAGAGTGTATTGTATTATATAACTATTCATATTGAAGATGGTTGGAGGTAAACTTTTTAATGACCTTTTTTTTTTTTTTTT